TCAAAACTCATTACTTGATTAGAAAAAAAAAGTTCTTGAAACTTTATTACAGGACGGAAACCTAAAGTTCGGAAGAACACCATTCGGGAAAGGAATTTTAAAACAAAGAAAAGATTTAAGCAACAATATTCTATTGAAGACCTAATTGTGGAATGGATTCAGTTTTAAATCATAGTTAAAAGAAACGTGAATTACAAAAAAAAAAAAAAAAAACACTTTTAAACTGTCTCAATTAAAATTAGAGCAATTTGTGCATTTAAAAAATTAGAGAGAAAATGTTATATGCTTGAAGTGAAAAAATAAATAAAAGCTGTGTAACGTGCACAGTACTTAATGGTGTTTTAGCTAAAATTATTGCGAAGAAAGAATACGAAGTTCGTTAAATCATGGTTGCCTTTATTTTGTTGTAACATAAAGAAAAAAAGGTATCCGAATAATAAATTTTTAGTAAAGTTTTAAAATTTTAATACGCAATAATTTTCATAAAACTGTATTACTTGGAAAATAACACAAAAAGGAAACACCTGAGTTATGCGATTTTTGGTATCTTTAGAAATTTTATAAACCGCTTTTTATTTTAATAAATATGATGTCCAAAATGTGAAATTTTAACTTGTCTTTATGAATTTAACAAAACTTTAGAAATAACATACTAGAGAGAGATTTTATGTTATAACATTGGTAGAGCAGCCGCCCAATTTATTGGTTTAAGACTATCAATGATAGATTCTTCAGCCTTGTAATTCTGAAGTCAAGAGAACACAGGGATTAAGAATTGGAGCAAACTAGCCATTGGGATTTGAACATGGATCACTTTATTAAGAGGTGAGCACTCTGTTCCTTAAGCTAACGTTACTCACTGGAGACACATTTTGTTTTATATCAAGAGTTGAACACCTAACTCAATTCTGATTTTACAATTATCTATATCCAACTCTATAGACATTAATTTTGAACCCAACCCAGAAGAAAAGAGAACTACAGGATCATGCCTTGGGAAAACTGGTTTTTGTGGAGGACTTTTTTCTTGGAACAAACTTGCATTTGTGTAACATTGAGAGGAAAACCATGAAAACCTTCCATGATTAGCCTGACACCAAGGGAATTCTAACCTATAATGCACAACCTTTTTGAATGAAGGGCCACACAGCAGGTTGAGAACGAAGGGCCACACGCATATTTAGACACGTTGACAGCACACATAAGACTTTTTATATAAACGTTAGCTTCCTAAGTGCTAAAATTTTTTCATCAGTAAACTTGGTAATATATTTACAGAAAATTAAATACTCTTAAACGTTAGAATTCATTCAAAAATGAAAAAACTGATACTTTTTAAAATTTTCTTCTTTTTTATATGTTAGAAAAAATTTATATATAAATGTATTAAAAAAAATGTATAAATATATATCAGGGAAAATAAATTTTATTTTTTTTAATCATATCAAGTAATGCATAAGTTCATTTTAAAATAAATTCTAACAAAATAGAAAAAAAAAATAAATAAAACTAATGCTAACAAAATGCTCCAATTAAATATTTTAAAGAAAATTTATGGGGTTTAAACAAAAATCATCAGGAGTTTCAGGACAAAATTTACTACAGCCCTCTTCTTCAAAACACAAAAAATCTTATTTTCATATTTTGTAAAAACCTTTAATCAAAATTGTATTTATTAGAGATACATAAGGGATTTCTCTTCCATATTTCTTTTAAATATTTGATTATTCATACTAGTTATTCATATTCATACTAGTTATTTAATTAGCAAATATGGAAGACACGTAATAAATAAACACATTTAGACCAAAAATTATCAATTAAAAAATATAACCAGTCAACCCAATTATGAGTGCCTCACTTGGAAAGAGAGGATGTCCTCTCCACCCTGAATAGAAATTCTAACTGGTAAGCACTGATTATATAAAATAAATGACAGGTGAAATAAATGATAGGTGAATAAAAACAGATTAATGTACACATTTTATATTTCTGACTTTAAAAACTGTTTATGAACAAAGAAAACTAATTATTTGCCATATCATGCATTTAGTTTTGGCATTAAAATACAAACAAAATTGCCAAACAAAAGTATTGTTTCAGGAATCCATATTTTATATCTGCTTTCCAGTAAGCAGTTTTTGAGTGGCACCCACTCAAAAAAAATTTCATGATGAACTTACATTTTGACTAGTTAACACAGTTTAGCGTTGGTCAACAGAAGTTTAAAAAATTTATTACTTAATAATTGCAAAAGACACCTTTCCACGAGAATAGCCAATATATTAACAACTTGCTTGTTCTTTCTTTTTTAAATATATTTTTCTAAATTTTTTTTTTACATCAAACAAAAGAAAAATAAAAGCTACATCATATTTTTTTGCACCCCATTTGCTGAATAATAAACTACCATTTTTTTCTCGAAGCTTTTCATATCTCTACTTATTTCACCTCATCATAATAAATTTTTAGTCCTAGCACTATAATTTAAAAAAAAAAAAACAAAAAAACAATCTCAATTTGAGAATTTTATTTTGATTCTCTAAGCATTTCTAAAGATTAGGGGAAAAAACTCAAGCAGATTCAGACCAAACATTAGAATATGTTCTATCATTCCAATTTTTTCATTATTTTGCAATAATTACGAAAAATAATTTTTGCTTTAACAAGTAATAATTTTTTTAAACTATTATTGGCCAAAAACATAAATTTTTTTTAAAAAAAAGATTTTTTTTTTACCAATTCATAAAACAAATTGAAAAAAGATTTATTGTAGAATAGAATTTAGCCCACTGTTTTTTCTCACCCATGTGTAAGACTAAATAGAGTTGATGCTAAATTTTATGCACAACAATATACACGTGAAATGCAGAATTCCCTATAACCCAGAAAAATGCATGTTACTCTTACTTGAGGAAAAAATAATTTTGTGGTTTCTTTCTCAATACAAAGACCTAAACATTATTTATGTGTTTTTCTTCTTCCTCTCATTGTCAGCAGAAATTACAAATCACAAATTTGACCACTCCATATGCATGTATGCATAATATACATGAACACGTGAATATCGTTCATTTAATTTTTTAGTATAACCCATAATATATATATATATATATATTCATGAGATATTTGCATTGAAAAGTTTCTGAACGACATAGATTTTAGAGATACAAAGAAAGCCAAGTAAAAAGTAATACAAAGTAAATTAATAACTAGTTTTATGCCTTCAAAAAACTCTTGAAATTAAAGAAATAGAAACTGATTTATATATGGAATAATTTTTAATAAAAATTAAACACTTTAAAAAAAATATCAGCATTTTGTCAAAATTAGGTAAGGACAAAAAGGTTGAAACTAGTTACAAGAGTCAATAAATTGCTTTTTTTGTGTGATTTTGTGCTTGCAGAAAGATTTTATATTTATTTTGTCTAAGTCTGTCCATATACTTGGATGAGATTCTTTTCCAAAATGTTATCTCTCTAATTTAGTTACTCTTGAAATTTAAAAGGGATTCTTTTTACTGACAAAGAAAATTTAAATTTAGTGTTTTAACCTTTACTACAATAAAAAAGAAAGAAAGAAAACAAGAAAAGGAAAAAACAAAACAAATTTTTTGGGATAAAATGCTTATTTAATATGCAAACAGCTTGAAAATGATAACTGATTTTAAAATCTACTGCTTAAAGATTTATAAAGAATTTAATTTAACAGTTTAATAAATCTGATACCCATGAACATAGTATGTTTGGGGCATATTCTATCAGTTCAGACCCTTGTGGGGCTTTGCACTTTTATGAGCCACTATGTGAAAAAAAAATACAAATAAAACATTGCAGTCTTACTAGAGATGTCGCACAAAGAGAGAATAAAATAAAATGTCAGTGTTTTAATCCTGGAAATAACTAAATGAAATAGATTGAATAATTCAGTCAACTTTTTAAATTTAAATATAGTGTAAGTGCAAGCACTGGATTGTAAAGCATGCACAATTCCAATAAGTTTATGATCTGAGAGAAGAGGAAATAATAGGCTATCATTTGATCTAATAAGTGTTTCATCACATTTCAATAAGCTTTAAACTGTTTGCTGTGTTAATTTTTCAATTTAGTCTAGCAAATATCTTAGGAATAACTGTATTGTACTACTATGAAATGCTAATAATGGAACATTAGCTAAAAGGGTTAATGGCATGAAGATTAAAAATATGAAATCATCAAAATGTCCACAAAGGCAATTTTTTCTTTCTTTTTAGGTAACAATATTCATAGGACAAATCCTTAAAAGCAAGGCCCCAGGACAGATTTTATAATATGAATCCTTCAAACACAAAAAGTATAGTCCTCAACCCAAATTTTGTCTTAAGCCTCTTTCAAACACAGTAGTTTACACTTAGGCAATTTAAACATCAGTTTGCATTAATTTACTAAATTATTTTAACTTTTAATATTTCTATGCATAATTGCTTATACTTCTATTGTAATAAACTGTTGATATAAAGTAAATATGAAAAGTTCCTTCAGTGAAATTTTGGAATATTGAAAAGATAATTTTATACAAAAAGAGGTAACTTTAATTTATATAAAACACATCACAATTTAAAATATAACACTTTTAATTAATTTCAATCTAGCCAGTAAGCTATTATATAATTACAATTTACTAGTAAAAAATACATATGCAATTTAAAAACTAAGGTCTCATTATACAAGTTGTTTATTCTAAATTTTACAACAAAAGAATTATGTATTAGAAATTAAAATGCATGGAACAAACAAATAATAGAAGATATGAATAACTTAAAAGTTTAATAAAAGTCTTATTAATTTCAACATAAGAGAGAAAAAAAGTATTTAATGCTAAATGTATTTTTATATTATTAGATAAGTTTTTTAAAAGTTTATGATCTTATTAAGCAAAGAAAGATTTGAAAGAAGAAAAAAAATTATATCCACTATGTAAATTCTAATGCATAAATGCAAAACAATTAAATTATAATTTACCTGGAATTTTCAAATTAACAACTCAACAAGCACTCCAATAAATTTACACAAAGTCTACCCACAAAATTCTTAAAATGTCCCTTCTTTTTGCCACTGGATACTCTGAAAGCAATAAAAAATTGCATCATGAACAAACTATGCGGATCAACACATAATTCATTTTAAAATCATTAAGACTTATAAACTTGCGTAATAACTAAACATTCAGTACGCGCCGTATTTGACAAAATGACAACACTTTTGACATAAAGCGTGCCAATTCTAAAAAAAGGTCACAATAGATTGCCAAAGGACAACATAAAAACAAACGAAGATCACAATAATAAAAGAAAGATTCGGAAAGAATACAAACCTTGTAGGAAAAACAAAACTTTTTGGATGGCTGGAAATTAAGTTATTCTTTGAGAGAAGTTAAAAAGTGTTGGACGAACTCAAGAGAGTATTAAATACTGACTAAAGAAAGAATAAATGAAAATGACAAGTTCAACTTTTAATAAAACAAGAAGTAGAAAGAATAATTTTAGTTGTTGCCATATTTATGACTTTTATTTTTTATGCAATGAAGCAGATGCGAATTTCGATCTTAAACTGAGTTTTTGCTATTACAATAAAAACAAATTGCTATTATAACTATTTATAATTAAAACTAATTCAAAAATTTTAAGAATTTTGAAATGAAAAATAATATCGATAAATTTGATTATCGAAATAATTCATCGATAAATTTGATTATAAATATTTCGATACCGATACTATTTCTAGCATGTTTATCTTCTAAACCGGTCGATTTAAAAATATATTTTGAATGAAATTTTACTTTTTCAAATGAATGATACAAATTTAACGCTCACAAATTTCTAAAGCCATTCAATTTAAACCTCTGCAGCAAAATATTTTTATTGATTATTTGTTTCGACGAAAAATAACTGCAATTTACTACTTTTGTTTCTTGCCTTCAAGATTGTTTTGGCTTTCGTCTTGATTATGTTGATTATATTAATCATTAATAAAAACTGAACTTTTCTATAAGTTTATTTTTTAATAGTGACCTTTTTTTCAATAGTTTCGTAAAACAGCTATTGATACTATTTTGAGATATTGCTGTAATATCTTGCAAATTATCTTTTGAGTAGAAATGATATCTATGAAGATTCCGATCTTTTTTAAGTATCATAGATAAACTTATCATTTAAGTACCTTTCTGAATGAATGATGCAACTATTCCGTGTAGACATTCGTAATCTAATTATTTTATTCAAAGATATGATAACTTTCTTCAAAGTAACTTACCATTTGGTAAAAGTTAGAAAGAAGAGTAAGTGCGTTTTATTATTCTAGGTACTTCAAAATTTGTATTCTAGGTACTTCAAAATTTGTGACTCGTTTTTCACATTAAAACTCCACAGTTTATTTTTTCGTAGTTTTTATTAAATTTAAAATTGTAGATTAAATAAAAAATTTGCATTAATTAATATAATTTTATTTTGATAAATAATTTATTATAAATTATAATATTATTAGGCCGTATGTAACAGTTCCTTTGAATCTTTCAATGATAAAAATTGAACTAGAATACTTTTAAATACTGCACTTAAGAGATAAGTCAAATTAAATACTTAACTTAACCAGTCACTTTTAGAGTATGGACAGGTTATTTTGCTGCCTATTCCTGCCTTAAATATTTATATTTTTATACACTTGATATATATCGGTTGGCCATATACAAGACAATTCAACTATTTCTTAAAATTTTCTATTTTATTTAATTTTTTGTGAACATCAATTTTGTTCTGGGAGATATTTCGTATCGTGATCTGTCACACCAACTACAATCGCCAAGCTGCCTAATGGATTTCAAACTTACAAATTGAAAAAACAAAACAAAAAAAGCATGTAGATGTTTGCCGGGTGGTTATGAGTTATACCTTTCTAGTTGGTCCGTTTCTGTGATTTTTTTTTTTTAGTTTCTTGTGCACCATTGTCCAGAAGTTGCCAAGACTTGGCGATTATTCTGCCTCAGATCACGATAGAAAAATCTCCTCTTGTTCAGTGCCTAAAGAAACGAATAAGATAAAAAATTTCTTTAAAAAAAGTTGGAGGAGGTCAACATTTTTTTGGTGACTTTTCGCTTGTACCAAACTAATCAAAATTCTTTAATTAACTTAATAAAATGAATTATTAAAATATTACTTTATTAAAATTATATTTTTCTAATAGTAATTATATTGTATGAGTTGCTATCAAATAAATGTTTAAATATTTTTGTATGGTCGCTTAAAAATCAACAACCTACAACTTTTGTGAAATGAATAGGTTGTCTCATTGTCTCTTCAAGCTTTAATATTTATATTTCTTTAAGCTTGAAATAGAAGCTTTTTTTTAAATTAAAAATAAATAAGTTTATCATTATGAAAGTAATTATATCTTATCTGATATTAGTCAACTTATCAAAACTCTTATGATTTGCTAAATTTTAATTTAAAAATAGTTTTATGTTTTTTTTTTCTTTTCTAATAACAACCACAGTAGAAGAACTATTGGGCATGACAATAAGTGCCGCAGATTTATTTTAGTTTTGGAGAAAATTAAAATCCAAATTTAATTTTTTTTGCAGACACAATTACTTGATGACTTCTTTTAGTTGACCTAAAAGAACTAAAAGAAGTCATTCTTTTCTGTATTGCTCTTGTATTTTCATCTGTTAAAATCATTTGCATTAAGGCTTTATAGCTGTTTTTTAAAGAAAATTTGTAAGTGTTGGCTGTATCATCTTTGGCAAAACCTTCGAGTTGACATGATCTGAAATGTTTTGTGGTTCCTTTACATTCTATTTCAGTTTTCAGAACTATGTTGTATCTGAAATTTTGGTTATTTCAGGTTGAATTTCAAGTTCATAAAAAGCATTTCATATTTCATTCTGTGAATATTCAATGAATGAAACTTATTGAATTGAACTATGAATTATATCGTGAAGCCATGATTTTATTGAATGAAGTTATGTATTCATTTTTTCCTTCAGCAAGATTATTAATATACATAGTTGCATTTTTTTTAACGAAAACTTTTTTTTATTACACTGCGTGTTAATTTTTTTTTTAATAACTACATTTAATACTTTATTTTTAGATTTATCTGATGATTTGCATTTATGGGGTTACAAGGATTACCACCAAAGCAAGGTCTATATGATCCCCAGTTTGAAAAAGAAGCTTGTGGTGTTGGTTTTGTTGTAAATATCAATGGGATAGCTTCACACAAAGTAATTTCCTTAATTAATGGTTATTCTTTTCAAATTAAGTATGGGTTACAATTTAAAAAAAACAAATTCTTTCATATTAAGTTTTTATATTGAAAAATTTTTGATGTAATTTATTTTTTAAAACTCAGGTTGATAAGGTTCTATTATTTTAAGTTTCCAATTTTGTTGTGCAATGATGCAATAGTTTAATGTAACTGTTATAATTGTCTAATGTAGGAGTTCTTAGACTTTTCATCCTTTGATCTCGCTATATGTCAAATTTAAGTTATGTCAGTTTTACAACTATTTTAGTTTTAATTATAAATGTTTAACTATTTCTTGTCTAAATTTTTCTTTTGAAATATAAATGAATATGTCATAAATAAAAATATGTTATTTTTCTAGAAGTTTGATAAAGTTTAATTTTAGAAATACATGATCTAATTTTAAACAAACATTAATTGAAACAAAATGTAAAGTTTAATTTTAGAAATACATGATCTAATTTTAAACAAACATTAATTGAAACAAAATGTTATTATAAAATTAAAATTCATTACAAAAATGTATATGCATGTCAAAGAGCATATTAAATAGCTTAATATAGCTTCATAATGACATGAGTATTTAATAGCTTAATAACTTATTAAATGCTCAAGGCAAAATTTTAACATCAAAAAAGGAGAGGCAAAATGATGATCAAAGAAAAATTGTTAATATACTAATTATTTTTCAAGGAAAAAAAATAAACAAACTCTTGTACAAGAATGTTTGAATTATAACATAATAAATAGTTTTGAATTAATCCTTTCTTGATGTGAACGAGTTTGTGTGAAGAAAATCTTATCCTTCCTTAATTTTTGTTAACTTTAATTCTGCTAGATTTTTGTTATTTCAGCTAATTCAAGATGCTGAAACCATATCTAAGCGCCTGGAGCACAGAGGGGCTCGAGCTGGGGATAACAACACTGGTGATGGTGCTGGCATTATGACATCCATTCCACACGAGTTTTATCGACTTTCATTAAGGTTCTAATTTTTTTTATAGAACAAAAAATAATCAAAAAATTTGTTTTAGTAGTTTATACGCTGCTTTCCAAAATATTGAAGTTTATCATTATATTATAATAGTAGCATTAACTGCCTTATTGTAGAAGTCTAATTTTGCATGTGAAAACTTTTACCATATTTGGAAACTGTATCACATCCAAACATTTTAGACTTTGTAATTTATAACAATGCTGTTTTTTTTTAATCAACAATAATTATAAGTCAAATTTTAATGAATAGTTCCTTTCTTAACTTATGAGTTTAATCAATACATTTTAAGTTAATATGCACGTTTTTATTGTTGTGTAAATTCTGCATAATCTTCTATAATCTGCGCAACATCAATTCGAAATGTTGTATTTATTTTAATAAAAAAGAGATATATTCTAAATGATTTTAGATTTTTATACATGATAAAAATTAACTTTTAAATTTCTTTTAATTCAAATAGCTTTTAAAAATTTTGTATGGTTTTAGATTGCACCATTTTCTAAAGCTTCATTTAAATTCTAACAGCTTTAAAAGGGTGACATCTGTTGTATTTGATTACTGTATCTTGCAAGAACAGTTAAAATGTCTTAACCAAGTCTTTAAACGACATTTAAGGGGCATTTAAATGAAAATTGACTATCATTGAATGCGTTAAATGTGTGTGCTTTAAAATATGTTAATAGTTTTTGAATGATAAAATTTTCTTTGACTTATATAATAAAAATTTTTTATTCATCTAATGGCCAGTCTTAGAAAAAAGTGAAAAACTTTCTGCAAACACAAAATTTAAATTATAATGCTTTACAAGCAATTTATTGTGTCTTGTAACTAGCCGCTACCTAATTTTGATGAAATTTGTTTAAAAAATAACCGATTTTTTTTAAAAAAAGTGTTTTCATTTTCATAAAACTCTATATTGATTGCTATGTATACTAGCAGATTTTTCTTTCAATTTAAGTTTTTTGAAGACATGAAACTAGTTATTGACTTAACAAATTTTTTGTTATTGTATCAAATTTTTTTAAAATTGACTGCAGTGTAGAATGTAAAAATTTTGATCATTTATTTATGTATATATTGTATATTTTTTATTATACACTGTACATGTCTATAATGTATAATCACAATACATATGCATTGTATATTTTTTTAGCCTACTTTACAATTCAGTATATTCTAATAATAAAAGAGGGACAGTTTAAAAAAGTCATAGATAAGTCAATTTTCTAGTATTTTTGTGCAATAAAAAATTATTACTTGACAGATTTTGGATGGATTGATTGTACTTGTAGGGAATTTACATGAATAGCTTGTTTCTTATAAGTAGAATGAACAACATTAATTTTATCTCTAAAAAAAGTATGTAATATTCTTTTTGTGGGAAGTTTTTCTGGTTATGTGAGCAAAAGTTAGCTTATTAATCTTTTCTACATATTCAGTGAGATAAACTGTAATAGCTGTCCAAATAGGTGCTAATGATTAAATAATGTATTTTAAAATTGTAGCTTTTATGTTTTATTTTTGTTGTTGATTATTAACTAATTTTAATAATAACATATTAATAACATTAAATTAAAAAAAAAGTTTGCTGCCATTATTCATGAGTTTTTCAGTTTATAATTTAAAAGTTATTCATGATATTAAATATATTTCAAATATAGACTGATTCTTAATAAATTTTTATTTCAGGAAAGAGTTGCGTGTTGATTTACCACCAAAAGGAAAATATGCAACTGGTATTATTTTTATGGAATCATCTGAAGAGACTAGCGTAAAATATCATTTTGAAAAAATTGTTGAAGAAGTTGGCTTACAAGTACTTTAATATATTTTTAATGTCATTTTTATAAAATATTTTTCTTAAGTAAATTAGTAACTATCCTTTAATAACCTAGATGTAATGATTCTAAGTTTCATTGGTTTTTTAAAATCAAGTTTATTATTAGATTTTAATAGACTACTATCAATATTTGTTAATTTGTGTGTGTAAAAGTATTTTTTGTGCTATAAAAAGTAAATATTTTTCATCAAATTATTCTATTTTAATTCTATACTATTTATTAATTATTTTATTTGTAAATTATTCTATTAAAATAATCTTTAAATATTAAAAGCATAAATTTTTTTTTTTAAATTAAAAACTTTCCAAAAATTTTCCAAAATCATGTAAGTTATAATTATTCTATATTTAGTGTGTTTGCATTTATAATAAAATGTTTTATTAAAAAGTTTGGTGCAACTTCATATATTTTAAGTTTAATAACTTTACTAGATAATGAACATACTCTTAAGTTGGAATAAAAATGAGAATCCATTGTGCCAAACGATAAAAATAATATTGAGCTTTCAGTTTCTTAAATTGCATTGCTAACTAGTTTGACATTTCAGTGTAAAAAAAAAAAGAAGGATAAATTTTTCTAACTTTTAGAGAGACTTTTCTTATAGTTTTTAAATATGTTGGAATCTCATGCAGTTATTCAAAGAATTTTATAACCCTTCGGCATTTATTTTAGTGTAATAAAATTTAAACTATAATAAAATTCTATATTTTTTTTACTGAGACTTTTCTTGTATTTTAAAATGTTTGTGAATTTTATCCAGTTGCTATTCAAATAATTTTCAAGCCCATATGGTACTGCTAAACGGACATATATTCTTAACAATATAATCCTTATATAATTTTATTTATGCCTTATGATGTTAATTTGAACAAAAAGTAAGCTAAAATTTGCCTATTTCTCTTGGTTTATGCAAACTAATAAGAGACGAAAATCTATATTAAAACTACCAAATATTCATAATGAGTAGGTGATTGTTTATTTAACCCCTTAACGATTGGTTAATTTTCAAGAAAATGTTCATAAAATTGCCTATTTTTTTTATGCACGTATATTATACATGTATTTGATTAGTGCTGACATCCAGTTTAAAATAAACTAACTATCTACAATTACCTTGATAAATATCCTGGTACTGCCATCTGGTGTGTAAAATGAGAAATAAAATGTTTTCCGGGCAAAAGAAATGAATTAGTTTTATTCTTATTGGAGCGTTACTACCGAACAGTCCAGCCCGGGAATATCACGGGAGCAAGACATGGAGGGCGAAACCTCACCCCGTCATTTTCATGGGAGCGAGAAGGAAGGGGTTAATTATAAGTATTTGTGAGTTTTAATGCTTGTTTTTACTCTTATTATCATCATCTCTAAGTTTCTTATATGACAAGCATCAATTCTTAATAAGACAAACTAATTAAAAATTTTTACTTCATTTAATACAAATTTCATTTTAGGTTTTATGCTGGAGAAATATTGAAGTTGATAATAGCTCTCTTGGTGCAGTTGCCAAATCATCTGAACCAATGATGCAGCAAATTTTTATAACTGCAGAGAATTTAAATAATAAAACCTTCAAAGAAAAGGTTCTATTTTATTTAAGCTTTTCCTTTATTTTCACTTTTATTTGAACTATGTATAATGAAATGTGCAAATTTTTTGAATTATGTACTCAATTTTTTTTAGCTGCCATGTTTAATCATTCCTTATTTTATACCTCAAAATTTTAAGAACTTGCTAATAAAATAAACAAAATAATGTTTATTATACTTCAAATTATTTTATTTTGTAGGATAAGAAAAATCAATTGAACAATGAAATAAATTGTATAAAGAAGTTAAAAATTGGAATATGACATGGGTATATTTTCAATGTTTGTACCAGGCAAAAATTTCTCTTTGGTACCAGGTACCCAAACCAAGTTTTTAATCCTCAAACCCAGCCAGTTTTACTGGATCTGGTGCTGGAGCAATTTATTGTGTCTTGTAACNAACCATATTCAGATTTATAGTAACCTTAAAACTATTCATAAAAATAATTGTTTTGTAAATCCATGTACTTCACCAATTTCTAAATGATGCTAATTTCTAAATAAATATTCATGTAGCCGCAACCATATTCAGATTTATAGTAACCTTAAAACTATTCATAAAAATAATTGTTTTGTAAATCCATGTACTTCACCAATTTCTAAATGATGCTAATTTCTAAATAAAGCTGAAATGGTTTAGAGACAACAAATTTTACTCTTGTGCAAAATTTTAATTCAAGGAAGCCTCGGTAAAGTGAACACCATTTTACATCACTCAGCAGAAAACACGTTTGGAACCATGTTATTATATTTTCATTATAAGTTAATTTTTTTTATTGAAAGGAAACATGTATGAATAAAATTGGCCTTCAGCAACTTTAAACTAAATTTTTGTTAGAAAACTTGTTTTTTATTTGTTAACTCAATGAATTCAAAGTAAGTAACAAAATGAATTCCAACCAGTCTGGTTAAAGTTGTCTTACCCTCTGGTTAACCATGGGAGGTTTTTGTGGTTTTATTCTTTATGTAACACAAATACGGGGTAGTTTCACAGATAAAGTTTTTCATGAAAGCCAATTTGCCTTTCTTTGTTGCTTTATCTAGGTGATACTTTATCTTTTGGGGATTCAAAAATGCTAGGATATGGAGATGGAATTGTAACATTAATGCCAGCAAAACAGCTATTTGAAATTTTTATTCAACATTGATTATATGATAAAATTTCTGACTGAGTATCAGAAAGATTTATCAATTACTAAGGTAGATCTTATTGTGCATAAATTATATTTATAGTTATTGGATGATTAAAAATTAAACTCTGATATTTAAAATATTTTTCATTTAATAAATCATCATTTTATTAATTTTTTTTTAAATATTGTACATTAATGAATGCTATTAAAAATTTAAGTAAATCAAATGGAAAATTAATTATTTATAAAGTCCACTATTAACAAATAATTCTTCTACGTATTAGAGTTTTATGTTTAATCTTTCTACATCCAAACAGTAATCCCAATTTTTGTTCAGAAATATTTTTCAGAATTTTGTTAAAAAAAATAATCTAAAAATGAAAGTATGTTTTTATTTATATAGCTGTACAAAAATTTCCTTTGAACTATATCTTGTAAAATATTTGTTGATTGAAAATATATGATTTTTAAATTTTGCATAAATGCTATAATATCTGGTCAGGTAATAAATTTTTTTTCTTCATGTAATTGGTTTTATAAAATATTCAATTTTAACCAAGTACACAGACCTGGTAAAACATATTTAGTTAAATAACTAATTGAGAGCTTTTGTGTACAATCTGTAATAGGTATGGTAAAATCTATTAAAATACTTCACTTTACTGTGTTGGTTTACCAAAGTTTAGCAAACTGTAATTAGTTAAGGTTGCACGTAATAATGAATATAAATGATGTTGTATTATAATTACAATTGTAGTTATATGGAAATGATTTCAAGTAATAATGACAAACAATAAATAATTATGATTATGTGTATATAGATCTTTTGTAATCTCGATTAAAGTAATCAAAATCAATGATTAAAATTAGCTTTTAAAAATTCAAATATATCTTATGGAATTTCAAAAGCAATTTTTCAAATTTTTTTAAAATTCTATTTACATTTCTATCTAATTTATAATTAGCTATTCAAAAGTGAAATTTATTATATTTTGTTTCAACTTTAATTTTTTTCCGAAGGTGTACCTCTTACAAAAATCTTCTACTCATCGATTGCAAAAGTATTTCACTTGTTTTTACATTTGCAGTTTATCCACAGAAACTGTTGTTTACAAAGTAAGCTATATTCCATCCAATCCTATAAAATAAAGTTTTTATTCTCTTTTTTAAATGTTAGCTTCTTATTTTTTGCTAAATCTGTATTAACTGCAAATTTTATTGATTTTTATTTGCTTACAGGGACAGCTTACTTCATCACAATTGTGGTCCTATTTTAAAGATCTACAAGATACTAGTTACACTACTTACTTAGCCATTGTACATGCTCGGTTTTCAACCAACACTTTTCCTACTTGGGATAGAGCTCATCCATTAAGGTTTTTATATTTATTTTATTTTTTTATGATTAGTACCAATACATGCAATAATTTATTATGCTTTGACCATAAGTTACATTATTTTTTTAATTTGTTCAAGTTATTTTAAAGGATTCATTCTATATCGTGATTATATGATTAAGGATTAATATTTATTAAGGGGCCAGGATAGCCTGGTTGGTAGGCTCTGGGCCCATGTTCAAGAGGTTGTGGGTTCAATCCCCGCCGGCCGAAGACTCCCCGAGTAGTAAATGGTTGCAGATGCACGTTAAATCTGTTGAGTCGCAAAGTCCTCCACATTCCCATAGCAAACTATATCTCTGGGGATACTGATCCAGGAGTTTCCTTGTCTTCTGGATTGATTGAAAATTACAAGGCTACAAGGAGTTGAACATTAGTAGTCGTAAACCCAAAATTGGGTCGGCTATTAAACAACAGTTATAAAATAAAATAAAATAATAATTTGTTAATGATTTATGATTAATAATGTGTTAATGAGTTATAATTAATTTAAATGAGTTTAGGACACATTTTTGAACATTTTAAACAGTGTCAATAGTTATTTAAAGTTAATGCCTTTTTCAAACTGAAGATATTTTTGAAGAAATCTTGAGGTGATTTTTGAATTATTTAAGCTGTTATCATTTTTGAAAGTTGTATATTGCATCAACTTGGCAAAGTTTAAAGTGAAGCTTTCCCTTATCAACCAGTTGTTGGTCATGGGAGTCCTGTGGTTTAGAGCTCCACAATTTCTTGACCAATAGCATGATGGTGGCATTGTGTTTTGCACTGGTCTCTTTGTTGTAAGTAGACAGGCTTCACACCATCACCAGGAATAAACCTTGCTCCTTTACAATAATAACTCAGTGTCTAAACTATTGCGTTATCAGAAAAAAAGGCTTGTTTTATATAAAATAAAAATTTGAATGTAATTTTTTTCCCAGTCCTAATCACGCCTTTGCTTTTTAAAAGAAAATGTACGAATAGAAAATTGATTTTAATCTTCAATTAATCTCATTTCTTATTAAAAATTTTTCTGTTATGTGTTACATAATATACTTAAACAAATCTAGTAAAAAGTTGAGTTTGATTTAAAATGTCTGTGACTCAAAATGTGACTATTATTTTTGAAAATGCATAAAGAAATGTTTTAAACAATTATTTTTTTTTTGCAAGAATGAAAATAAAAATAAAAATTTTATAGTGGTGATAGAATATATTAGTGGTGATAGAAGAACTTGGACAGAATTTTATTCAAAGAGATGACGTGCTTTTATTATTTGATACTTATATGCCTGCTTTTGTACAAAAAAAAGAAAAAAACATTGAATGATTATTAATTAACACAAAACAGGATTTTAGAAGTTAAACTTATCAAAAAAAAAAGATTAATTAAACTCAAATTTATTAAATCATCACCAAATGATGCAATTGATAGTTAAATACTCATCATAGTACATAGATATGATAGTCAAGTTTTACTTCAACCTAGCAATTTTTATGATTATTTGGTACTTTAGTATGTAACTTAAATTTTTTAATTTCGTTCACCATATGATATTATTTTTGCTTATAGAAGTACTTTTTAAAATCACAACTATAAGCAAAATAACATATGGTTCTAGATTTACAGAATTCTATTTCAGTGATGTCGAACCCTGCATGGCACCCACATTGATTATACTTCTGCTGATTGATTTTACTTTAAAATAAAAACCAGCATTAAAATCTCCATGAAATTCGCTTTTGATTAAATAGAGCTGCCAGCAAACAAGCGTCACAGATGTTATCTTTTAAATAATTTGAAGGAAAAAGCATTGCAGTTTTTAATTGCAATGATGAATGATGTTATTATTAAACGAAAAATTTGTTTTCACAGTCCCTTGGAAACAGATTAAAAATTAGGATTGGATTGGGGTTAAAACTGTCACTGATAAGGATTGGGGTTAAAACTGTCACTGATAAGGATTGGGTTTAAAACTACCACTCACATCAGCTGTCAGAATGTCGGGATTATAGCTTAAAAGGTTCCATAGTGAGGAACAAAAGCAGACAAACTCTTATTTTTATTATTATAAATTTTCAATCATTCCTTCGTGATCTAAAATAGCTCACAACAATTCTGAACACATTCTTTAATATTCTCATTATTTTGACCATACAAATTTATAACCACATTTTCTGAAATTGTAAAATTTATATGTCCTTACTAAGGACTAATAGAGAACACATATATTATAACTAAAGAAGAGTTTTGATTTATATGCTGTGCATGTTATTATATATATTTTTGTTTTTTGAGAAATTAATAAATAGTTCCGAAAACATTAATTTCTAATTGATTGTTTTTATTTTTTTATTATTTAGATATTTAGCTCATAATGGGGAAATCAATACTTTGCATGGTAATGTAAATCTGATGAGGGCACGAGAAGGTGTGATGAAAAGCTCCATATATAAAGATGACTTGAAAAAGATATTTCCTGTTGTTGAACCAAATATGTCTGACTCAGGAAGTTTGGATAATGTTTTAGAATTTCTAGTTATGGCTGGTCACCGCTCTTTACCTGAAGTAATTACTATTCACTGCGTGAAAAAAACAAACAAACAAAAACATCTAAATAGCTTTTTATCTATTGGTGAAATTTTAAAGTTTTAACATGCCTTCTTATTGGTTTGAAGGAGTGATCTGAAATATACAAATTAATTAGGGTATATTTTTTGAGCAATGAAATAAAGAAAACTTACTTTCTCCTTATAAATATACCTATATATATTTATATTGATAACACTTTTAGGTTCCCTTGTCTCAGGACCAAAGCTTAAAATTATGACTTTTTTTTGAGGTTGATTAACTTATAAACTATTTGGTTGATTCCATTCAAATATTGTATTTTTCATTTAAAATTACACGATTCTAAATAAGGTAAAGAATTTGCATTCCTCATAATTTAAAAAAATGTTTCACTGCTATTAAATTGAATTTAAAAAATAATAGTCTTTAAAAAATTATCTTTCTTATCTTTATGATTTATCTTTAAAAATTATCTGCATGTGAAATTATCTTTCAGTAAAAGTTTTAGAGTTGTGTGCATATCTTTCATTTAAAATTGCACGATTTTAAATGAAAGGTAAAGAATTTGCATTCTCAGAATTTAAAAAATATTTCACTGCTATTAAATTGAATTAAAAAAAATAATATTCTTTAAAAAATTGTACTGCATACGAAATGATCTTTCAATAAAAGTTTTATAGTTGTGTGCATAAATCTCTTAATCAGGGTTGCCACTCTATTGGGAGAAAAGGGAAAACCTGGAAAATACAGGGAATTTAAAAATCACCTAAAATAACAAGGGAAATACAGGGAATTGTTTTTCTATTGGTAACTATCCACTGCCACAGTTTTCTGACGGCTGACCCCAATTCGATGTAACATTTTCTCAACTGTATTAAGCCCTCTGATGTGTAGTCTACCTCTTTTTCTATTTCCTTCACATTTTGAAATGTCACTTTTTAGGTTGAGTTTAAATCATTGTATCTGAAAATATGTCCAGCTATCTTAATCCCAAACACATATCCACTGAATAAAAGGTGTGCTTAATCAGAAAAAGTATGTTTTTGTATGTTTTTTTTGTAAATTAAACTATAATCTATTTAATTTAAGTAGATTTATACATTATCAAATCATTACGATTTTATCTTAGTACGCAAAAATCCATCTTTAGATCAAAAGTGATTTTGGTGATATTTTATTTTGTATACTGTGTATATTTAGAAATTTTTCTAATAATAAGCAATATTTTATTTATTTTATAATATAGAATTAGTGTTGGAATTATTTATCTAAACAACCCAGTATTAATTCTGCTTTTTTCAATCCAAGCTGGTCGCTTTCTTGTAACACAAGCAGATTTTTCTCTATGTTGTACTGTCAGAAATCAGAATTTATAAACAAGAATCAAGTTTAGTTTTTTCTGTAATTATAAAATGTGAAAATTTGTTTTTGAGATAAGATAGTTGTGTAATTTATTCTAGTAAATTTATGTATTGTGTATATTTGTTAACCCTCTGGGATTTAAGGATATTGACAAGTTTGTGTAGACCTTCCACGCCTATGCACTCTTTACATAGTAAATAAAGTGGAATAAAACCAGTTGGTCTCTCAAGAAAGCAACTAGATTAGGAAGAGCGAGATACAATTCTTTATAATTTATTTTTATTTTTATATGATTGAAAATCAAATTTCTGTAGTTACCTACTTTTGAATGACATACTATATTTTGTATTATATATAGTTTAAGAATATTTTAGTTAGAAGTTGTTTCTATTTTAGGCTGTTATAACTATGCTTCCTGAAGCTTGGCAGAAAGATGAATTGATGATTGTCCATAAAAAGCATTTCTATCAATGGAGTTCGTGCGTCATGGAACCCTGGGATGGACCTGGTAATACATAGTTTTTTTCATTATTGCTCATTAGTTTATAATCAGTTATAGACTTACTTTTTCGTAAAGAGAAAATTATTAAGATGCATTGTTGTAAAATTTGAAAAGAAATGAAAAATCAGGGATTGAAATGGAGATATTTTTTTATTTTTATTTTTTTTAAACTAAACTTTTTACAGTTGCAATTTTGAACTAAATATTTTTTTGCAAAAATTAATACATGAAAGCAAGTTTAAAAAAATTATTTCCTTTAAAAAAGTTTTACAGAAACTTAAAATTTATTATTTATGGTCAAAAGGATGGTGATTTATGTATTTAATCTTTATTTATTATGATTAATTCTGTGCTAGTTTCATAAAATTTTTATTTTACTTGTAAGTTTATAAGTTTGTACATGTGTATATTTGTATATTTATAAGGCTCATATGTATTATTGAAAAATAATTTTTTTTAAAAGAAAAATATAAAGTTAAATATTCAAATCAAAATATTCATATCAAAATATTCATATCAAAAATTCATATCAAGGATAGATTAGAAAGATAGATTCATCAAAATATTCCTATCAAAGATTTTCAAATAAAATATTCAAAGATTTTTATTTAAAAAAAGTTTTATTCCCTATATTATGTTGTTATCTTCTTCAATTTTTTTTCTCTTTCTTTGTACTGTTTGATAATATTTCTGTGCGTTAAGCTTTATTTAGCAATGCCTTAATTAGCAGATATGAAGACTTTCTGTGACTTAAATTCATATTTCGAATTCAATTCATTTGCCAAGTTTAAACAATTATAAAAATATGTAGTTAATTTACTACACTGTTAGAAATAGCAAAATCACTATCTCCTCTTGGTACAGTGGCATTGAATAAGCAATCGATGACAGAATTGACAGAGGTGTCCAGAGATTTGCCTTTTTTTCTCTTAAAAAGTGGACATGATTTAAGTCTAGGGTGTGGCATTTATGGCACACATTGCTGAGATAAAAAATTCTTTGTATCAAATATTTGTCATGTACGAGCACAATACAACAATTAGAAAACAAGCTTCAGTGCTGAAAAAGTTATTAATTTCCAGTTTTATGTCACATGAATTTCAATGTTATTATTATTATTTTTCTTAAAAGTACCGTAAATATAATTACATTAATCTTTTTTTATTGTTATTCCCAAAACAAAAGTATGAATATGTGGCATGGTATCAGATTCTAACACACTAAGTTAAAAAGATTTGCCATCCCTGGTCTAAGTCTGGGTGCGTAGTGTTTTTAAAAAGTGCTTAAAGGTGCTTATTTTCGATTTTCGTTTTTTAAAAAACCCTTGAAGGTGCTTTTTTTCATGGGTGTTTTCAAAAAGTGCTTAATTTTCCCTTTTCCGAAATGTGATATTTTTCTTNTAATTAATTAAGAAACACTTCTTTTTATATTCTTTTCAATAATAGATTACGTTCAGAACGAGGTGACGACGGCGATCACAAAGTCAGTCCCACTGAAAATAATCTACAAGAAACCAGTGGCGTACGCAAGGGAGGGGTTTAAACACCCCCCTTGAGCTCAGACAAAATGGCAAAAATAAAAATTTTAGTAGAAAGTATGCGGGCTATTATTTTTTAAGACTATATTATTTTTAGACTGCTATTTATAGACTGCTATTATTTTTTATTTGCCTTATGCCTGCTTTTTTTTCTCATGGTATTTCTCAGAATTCTGAAAATATTTACTATAATAGGGTTGTACTTTTGAAACCAAATTCACATGATACTGTTACGGACTGGTTCTGACCTCCCAGTATAGTTTTCGAGACTGGCTGTCATTCGCGAGGTCTTTACGCTGTGATTCTGGAATCCTAGACGTTCTGTCGTCTTTGAGACAATTCGAGAATTTTGGAGATGTGGTGAAAAATTATATAAAAGGGGGAGCGGAGTACAATGGAGTTAGTTTGTCAGACTAAGAGTTATCTCTGCCGCTTGTCTTTCGGAGCTTGTCGCTAAATCTGTTTTGTTTTGTCTTAACAAAAAGTTCATTCAATCGCCGAACCCGTCGTCGCCACTATTTCGACTAGTGAAGAAATCAGTAACAATACCATTGGAGATACTGTGCTCGTTGAAGTTATTCATTCCAGCTCGAAACTTTGAGATCGTAGCATAGCGGATATTTCTGTGCCAATATATATATATATTTGCTGTTCTTGGATCTTTAGGATGTCAAAACGCAAGAATTTAACAATTTTTAATTATTTTGAGAAAAAATCACGACCTGAAATTAGTGAGGTGACAGCATCTAGTACCAATGTAAGTTTTTCTGTTGAACAGAAATGTGATACTTCCGTTGAAGAAAACGTTTCTAGCATAACAAAATCTGATGAATGTGAAAGTGGTCCTCAAAGTGTTACTTCCCACCCATATGACATTGGACTTTTTTCAGAAGATATTACATGCGAGAAGATATTACATTATGTTCTTAAACTTAAAAAATCAAATCAAAATTTAACTAAACAATGTTGCTAAATAAAAAGTCAAAATTGTCTAGCTGTCTAAATTAGGGAAATAATAGTGCTTTATTACAGACTCGAATTTTTTTTATTAGTTTCAGAAAATTATGAACAACCCCCTTGAAAAAATTCTGCGTACGCCACTGATGAAAACACCATTTGTCTTACATGTTTGATGAAATACTTTGCAGGTCTGCACTTGCGTATATTGAGCTGGATTCAGTGGTAAGGATTTTTGACTCTCATGTGCAACGCTGCTGCATTTTGCAAGAGACTTCATTTTCCTCCCTCTGTAATGGAATCGAAAAATCTCTCGAATTTTTACTGATTATGGGGACCTACTAAACATTGTCAATTTTTTTTCTCTATTAGCGATAGAAAATTTCATTTCTCTTGTTAATTTCATTATTTGTGACGCTCCATCGTCTTTGACCATCAGTTGTTAAAAACTTGCCAGCCATGTCTATATGATATTTTTCAAAGTGCTTAAAAATATTTTTTGAGTGCTTGAAAAGTGCTTAAAAGATGCTTATTTTTTGTTGAAAAATTTGGCTACGCACCCTGTAAGTATACTTTTGAAATTTGTGTGTATCAAAATTTCAAAATGAATTATTTTGTTTGATGAAAATTATTGAATTTATTTTATTAGCATGAGTACCTTGTAATTCAATGGATAGTGATATTCTATTATTTGTTAAATATTGAAGTTCATGAAACATTTTTCTATGAATTTTTTAATTTTTTCTTAGCATTAGTAACATTTACTGATGGTCGATATGTTGGTGCTATTTTGGATAGAAACGGTTTGCGACCATCCCGTTATTACATAACAAATGATGATCATGTTATTATGGCCAGTGAAGTTGGTGTGTTAGACTTTGAAAATGAAAATATCAAATTGAAGGTATAAATTTAGATTCAGTTTTTCTTCTCACATTATCCACTTGCTTTGAAATATGTGATTTAAAATATAAATAACTTTTAAGGGGCGCTTACGACCCGGGCGCATGCTTCTGGTTGATACTAAAGAACACCTTTTTAGAAGAGACGATGAAGTTAAAGTTGAAATTGCACATCAAAGACCCTTAAAGCGATGGCTTGAAGAACTGGTAATAATTAGCTAATAGATAGCTTTTGTAATTGTGTTTTGTATTGCTATTTTTTTATTTAAAAAATCGTATTTTTTTTACTTGACGATTAAATGCTTTTACAGTTTCTTATAAAGCTATTTATTGAAATGGAAATTCTGTGAGATTTCATTTCAATAATATTTAGTTCTTAATAGAAACAGAGACAAAATTTGCATAGTTTTATTGAAAACACTCCCGCATTTAAATCTCATTAGAGTACCCACAAGTATTAATCACAAAATATGTTATAATCAAATAGGTTATGATTAAATTGTTAGATTTAAAAATTACAAGGTCAAAATCAGTATGCTTTGTGAGATTGATCAGGCTAGTTCCCAAATGCAACCTGTTTAATATTGCTACTAAAATTATGACAATAAATTTTTTAAAGATAGGCTAAACATTTTGTACATATTTCATATTTGTTGAAACAGAATATAGTGCGCTTATTAGGAACAAGAAAAAAGTGACATGTTTCATTGTAAACTTAAGGTTATTGTTAAGTATATTGATAAGATAGTTTAGGAGTTTATTAACTCTTTAACGATCGGTTAATTTTCACGAAAACGTTCAAAAAAGTGCCTATTTTACCAAATACACTTATTTGATTAGTGCTGACATCTAGTTTAAAATAAACTAACTATCTACTATTACCTTAAAAATATACTGGTACTGCCATCTGGTGTGTAAAATGAGAAATAAAATGTTTTCCAGGCAAAAGAAATGAATTAGTTTCCTTCTTATTGGCACATTACTACTGAACACTCCAGCCCAGAAATTTCACGGAAGCGAGAAATAGAGGGCGAAACCTCACCCCATCATTTTCATGGGGTCGAGAAGGAAGGGATTAAAGCATCTTTGATAATAAAAATAACAACAGTAAACAAAACAATAAAAATTTTAATTGTGAACATAAAAGATGGTTAGTGGTTGTCTATTCACATTGCCACCCACTTTCTGAAGAAGCAAAGACTGACTGATCTGATGTTATTGTATAAGGGGAATTTCTGATTTTAGCATACAAGGAATTAAAGAAAAGGCTTTTCATTAGAGAAATTTTCTTGTGTTTATATGTAATTCTCAGAAATAGAAAACTTTTATGTTGATAGATTAAATTTTTATGTTGAATGATTGTGTTGTAATCTTTAAAGTACCTAAGATAGTCCTAGCAGGAAAATTTATGAAAATTTCTTATCAGTGTGTGTTTATCGAACAAACTAAATGTATCCTTAAACTCAGACAGTTTTCTCTGCTAAAATCATTAAACACTGCTTCTTAGCCATTGATCTAGATTTATGGGAATCATATCAGACTTTGAAAAATCCTAATAATTCAATTGATGACCTTTAGTATCTCATTCTTCTCTAATATTTGGAAATCTATTTTCATTTAATTTCTCCATCTTGCATTTCTTAGGGTTCTCACACAATCCCCACCACACTTTTTTTTTGTTTTTCTTTTGTTTAACTATCTTGTTCTCCCAACTTTATTATCAACTCACTTTTCTCCTTGTCGGAAATTGTTTAAATGTTTCTTCTGCATCTTTGTGCTATCCTCTTTGTTCTGTGCTTCAACACTGATGAAGGTTTTTCACTTTAAAACCAAAACTATAGTATATCTCTGTTTATTTGGTATTATTTCTCTTACCACATTGTTAAACTTTATTCATATATATTGCAGGAAATTAACCTTTTCTTCAATTCTTTACAACGTTTAATTTCATATTTGAAAACAATTGATTTATCTAATTTTGAAATGTGGTTCTTTATGTATCTTCAATAAAGTCTTTGAATGTTTTAATATGTAAGTGAATGTAGTATGCAATATTTAAGCATAGATTTTTAGATTGGAAGCTTTCAAGTACATTAGTTTGTTGCAATATATCAGAAATTAAATTTTCTATTATTTTATTATTACTTTTTAGGTGACTCTAGAAAAACTAAAGTCTGCTACACCAATACGAGGGAGAAAGATGAGTTTTCCTGTGTCTGATGTCATGAAAGATCGACGATTGCCTCTCTTTGGCTATACAATCGAAGCTGTGACTTTATTATTACTGCCTATGATACAAAACGGGTAATTTTAAAATTTAGTTTTAGAGCTTTTCATGTCAAATTTTATGTGAGGGTATAAATTGAGTTTGGTTTGGTAAGATTTTGCTGAGCAGAAAATTGCATACCACTCTGCTTTTAATATTTTGTCCATGGAACACAGCAATTTTTATTATTTAAATAAAATACACGAATCAATGAAATATGTAATAGTTGTTGTACAACTTTTCTTAAAACTACATTTTAATTCTTAGTTATTGCACTTATAACTTAAAATGATATTTAGATATCTCAGAAATAAAACTGTTATTATAAATTATTTAAATATTCTCTGGTAGAAGTAAATATGGTTTCTATATAAATTCTTCTTATTAGTAAATATTTGTTTTTTTGCTAAAAATTAACTTCACGAAAGATACATTGTTGGAACTGTTACTTTTGTCAATCTTAATTACATATATAAAAAATCAAAACTGGCTATTTATGTAATTGTGCACTCGTTATTAAAAGTTAAGCACATAAATTTCATAATATATAGTTAATGATATAAATTATTTTTATTTCACTTTGTTAAAGGAATATTGTTTGTGAAAATCTTCATAAGGGGTAAATTTTTATTAGTAAATTTTTTATATAAATGATTGCATATTTGTGATAAGAGCATAGCAGTTGAATTATAAAAAAAAGTTTTATTTATTGTGCAGCATTAGTAGGATCACGTTCATTTTTATTTTCTAAATGCTCCTGTCAAATTTTTAATTTTATTTTATAGCCATCGTTAAGCAGCCGACTCAACTTAAGGTTTCTGACTACCAATATTCAACTCCGTCACCTTGTAATTTTGAACCCTATCCAGAAAACAAGGAAACTCCTGGATCAAGTACTGGGAGAAATTTCACGTTCATGGAGAACTTTTTGGAAAAAACTAACATAAATTTGCATTACATCGAGAGGAAAACCACGAAAGTCTCCCACTTTTAATTTTGAACGCAATCCAGAAAACAAGGAAACTCCTGGATCAAGTACTGAGAGAAATTTCACAGTCATGGAGAACTTTTTGGAAGAACTAACATGCATTTGCATTAGAGGGAGAAGAAAACCACAAAAGCCTCCCACGGTTAGCCTCACGACAAGGGGACTCTAACCCATGATCTGATCCGTCTACCACTGAGAATATTTAACATCAACACTGTACTCAGTGCAGAGTTCAAATTGACCAGCTATCGCTGGGATTCAAACTTGAGCCACCTCATTTAGGAGTGCTCTATCCCCTGAGCCACCATGCCATCTCTCAGATGTAATTTAAGAACTATTGTTAAAATAAATTAAAATGATATGCATTTATTTTTTTAAGTATCTAACATTAATATAAAAGCAATAATTAAATTAGCTTTATTCTGAGGTATATTTTTTCTATCTCATATAGGAAAGAGGCTTTAGGATCTATGGGTAATGATGCACCACCAGCTTGTTTGTCTCAATATCACCCATTAGTTTATGATTATTTTAAGCAGCTTTTTGCACAAGTAACAAATCCTCCAATAGATCCATTCCGAGAAGATATTGTACTTTCTTTGGTTAGTAAAATATTCTATACAATTAGTATATTATTATATTTCTTAGATGAGTATTTTTATCTTGCATTGTGAATTTCAGGTATAGAAATGAAATTCTAAAATGGTTATGTTTTTGAATAAAATGTAAAATTTAATTTTGTATAGAGTGTTATTAGCTATAAAGAACATACTATAAAAAAACCAGAGAAAAATTATAAAAAAATATAATTACTGCAAAAAATAAATCATTCTTTATCAATATACTTTCTCTCAGATGATATGCTCTGGTCCCATCAATCTACCAACTTTTCAAAACAAGTAGAGAAGCCTCTTTCTGTAAGCTATTTCTACAAATACTGCACTGCTGAAATAACATCAGATATTGCATTAAATTTTCTGCTGTTGAGCTATTATTATTTATTGCAACTAAAAAATCTATAAAAATAGCCAGAATTGACATACTAATGTGAGATCTAGATTGTTTGGGAGATTTTAATATTGAATTTACTAAGAGGTTACTGAACAGAAGTAGCAACATTTGTTTTGTAACTCCGAATCACTCTCCTTCATTTTTATATGGCAAATAAAAACAGTTTTCTAAATAAGCTTGATACTAGAAAGATAAAATTATCTGCTTTTTATTAGAATATTTATAAAGTTTCAGTTAACAATTTGAAAAAATCACTTGCACTTTTATTTTCTAGTTTCCTGGTGGTGCCACTACTTAAAAAATAACTCTCAGTTTTTATTTAATGTATAAATGTATGGAATGTATATAGACTGCATATTTATAGGGTTCACACCAGGGTTTGAAAAAACCCGGGGATTTTTGAAAAACCCCAACCCGCCTGGGTTTTATTGAAAAAAACCTGGCGAAAATTGGGTTTTATTTGAAAAAACCCGGCGAAAATCGGGTTTTTTCATTTAGTGCTCATAAATTTTACTGTGAAAATATTTTTATTTATTAAATAGTGTTGTATAAATAAGCACTGAAATTTCACCTGACTTTTACCTGTAATAAAATTAAACTGGAATAAATATTTAATGGTCTTCCATGTTTTTTCAATACGATTAATGGAAAGTGAAATTAAAATTACGTATAATTATAAAGAGTATCAGTTACTTGTCCCTTTTTTCAAATATTTAGATAAATAATGCATTTTTAGATACATTTTAACTTTATAGTTTCAAAAACAAATTAATCTTAAAATTATAAAAAGCATAGATAAAAAGTTATAGCTTATTTTTTTAAAATCAGAAAATAAAACTTTAAATTTGTTTATTGTTGTTTAATGTATCATTTAATAGAAATTTTTTTTGTTTGCTTTCAATATTTTTAAACATGATTAATTAAACATGATTAACAAAATAAATTGTATTCAAATGAAATCTTAAAAATAATATTTAAAAAATCTTAAAAGTAATATTTTAATTTTTAATTGTTTTTTAATTGTGATAAACTTTCTCCAAATAGTTAAAAATTGTCAGCAGATGTTAGGAGTTAACTTAAAAAAAAGGTCCATTTTTTCCTTTATTATTATTATCATACAACAGATTCAAAGTGTCTACATTTCTCTCTTAGATGGTGA